GGTTTGGTTTGATATAAGCATGTGAAAAAGGAACAGCTTTGAATGATGTCCTGTAGCACTACCTATCAACTACTGTAGCAGTCAAAACCTAATGCTGAGACTTCTCTTATAGAAATATAATCTGAAACCTACAGCGAGATAGCAAGTGAGGCAGATACTCCCTTAGTTTGGGTTTCTTTAGGCTGCAATTTTCTCCATGATATCTTCCTTTCTGAATTAAGATTATAGAGTGGTAGTCATGAAGAGAGGCGACTGGGAACATTTACATTACAGGAAAAAGCTTATTAATTTATTTAATTTTCTGTAAAGCACAAAAGTAGGTTGCAATTTGTTTTCTCAACTTTTTGAGTTTTAAGAAATTACTCAGTTTGCTGTTCAACACCCGAAGTAAGAAATTTTAAAAAAAATCATAAGAAAATGAACCTGTGAATGTACAATACACTTCAGCTGGTTAGAAGTGAAAAGCTATACAAAGCTGCTGGATGCTGGAAAATGTTTTTCCAAGAAAGTACTATTAAAAAAACTTCTAAACGGAAAGGCAACCTTCAAGGTGACTTTCAAAAGTGTATTTCCTGTTCTCACTGTTAATCTTCTTTATACATTTTGTCATGTAGGAACAGAAGATTAGCATCCCAGGCCAGGCTGCCATCTGTCTCCCTTAGGGCTGGGCAAAATACTGGGATGGTAAAGCTGGGCCCAGCCTTCAGTTCCACTTCACTGCTTAAAACAAGGTTCAAAGACCAAGATGTGGCTCCAGGAAAGACTCCTTTCCAGCCTCTCCTCTCCAGGGCAGGTCCTACCCACACAGTTTCTGAGCTCTCCAGAAGTGTCTTTCCAACAGCCTGCCAGGTGTTTTTCAAGCTGCTTTTCCCTTTTTTTGCAGAGGGAGCTTTTTATAGTGTCCTTAACAGCATCCAACCCAGCCCCTCTCAGAGCTGCCCTCCTATGTGTCAGATCAAGAGCCAGGGCTTACCAACAACAGTGTGTGGTCAATAAAAACAGGAATAGGTCCTGCAGAAGACTCAGGAATCCTCCCATAGCACAACGTCTTTGCGTCCTCTGATAGGGATATCGGATGTCTACATCCCCAGCACTGAAAGCTGAGTGAAAAATGAATGATTTGTCCAAGTCTAAAAATTTTAGATTATGTCCTGACTTCAAAGGAGAGAGATGAATAATAATGAAGTGGTATGCCTAAGAAGTCCTCCAATGCCTTGTTATTTACAAGTATGATATCAGTGTTATGTATGATATCAATCACTGATAAAAAGGTGCATCAGGTGTGTGCTTGTATATACATACACATACATGTATTAATGTGCATGGCTCCATGGATGGATAATCAAATGCGACTAAAAATGACTCTCCTTTATTCCTCCCACATGGCTATCACTTCCCCCTGTACTGTCTTTCACTTCCCTCTACTCTAGCTGTGTCTCACCTGACTTACAGTAATTGTCTTCACACCTGGTGCTCATCCTCCCACACTGCCCCCTTCCAGCCTCACCTCCTCCATCCACTCCTTTCAATGTAACCTGTGCTGTTTTGTGCACCTTATTCCTCAGCACCTGCACAAATCCCTTTTGTTTGTCTCTCTGCTGATACCTGAGCACTCTTTTTCTTGTTCAGTAGAGCCAGCTGTGAGGATGACAGCCATGTCCCCAGCCAGCTGTGACGATGGCAGCTGGCATCCAAAGCAGGCGTGTTGAGGACAGCAAGTTACACCTCCCGCAGCCGTGGTGCCCAAGGGGAACCTGGCTCCTGGGATATGGAGAACAGGCAACTCCAGCACCCCAACACCTTGTCACAGCTGTTTGGTGCCAGTAGGTCCCACACCCACACCCTGAGCAATGCCTCATCTGACTTTATACATGCTCCTTGTTCCTGTCAGGCAGATAACTGCTAGGGATGGAGGGAGCAGAACAGAAAACAAAGAATTTTGATAATTACTCCTGCTAGGTTGAGGGGTTTTTCTCTTTTTAGATTAAAAACCTGTTAATTTCCAAAATAATTCATTTCTATTTTGATATCCATATTCTCCCTTGCTTTATCAAACTTTTTTTCTTGTATCCCTGAGCTCACCTGTCCATCCCCTCATGGAGTTTCCCTGGTGTTTTGTATGAACCATCATTTTGATTTTCCATTAGTTGACTGTGCTGAGGAAAGTCGTTGCAGTTTAAATTAATGTTGTTGAGAAACAGGGACAATCTGCTAAAAGAATATTGTGTTTTACTTTTTGGGTGTAATTGCTTTACTAGCTGGTAACTTATTTCCTTAAACACTCATTTTCTTATTTACCTTTTTCAGTCCACAACTTTGACAATATTTTAATATCTATCTCTAAATATAAATGCTATGCTAAAAGCTACTAAAGAAGGGAAAAGAAGAAATGGACTAAACAGAAAGAAAATCCCAAGGGTAATTATCTATTAACACAGCACCAAGCTTCACCAAAAGATCTGTGGTGATCTATTAAATGTAAAAGTTTAGAAAAACAAAAACAAAAAAAAAGAGAAAGAGAGAAAGAAAGAAAGAGAGGGAGAAACAGAAAGAAAATAAGATATGTAAAAGCAACAGAAAGCATGATAGTTTAAAAGTGGCAAGTGGCTAAAAGGTGGATCATATTTTTGAGGCCATTCCTCAGACTGGTGAGTGGGAGTCATTGGTTTATTTTAACAGATTTTAAAAAATGTACAGGAGGCAGCTGTGTCTGTCTGTGTCTCGGTACCACTCAGCAGACAGAGTGGCACCACTTTCAGAGCCCTTCTCTAGCACTGAGCAGCTGCAGAGACAGAATAACCTCCCAGCAGGAACCCTAATTATCCCTTCCCACCAGGGCTCAGGTGGAATTACCTCCAGTCCTGCAGAAGGCAGAGCATATAGGTGTGCTAACAAAGGAAAGAAACCAAAAATCAAACTGCCACCCCCCAGGCCAGAATGTGCCCTGAGGGATGACAAGAAAAGCACAACAAAGGTGATGAGTGGGCTGGCTGATACACGGTCCTGGAAATAGAATGGTAAAGCATGAGAAAGTGTTCCATCTTGGTAGTGGGCAATGGGGTAAAACCTTCACTTTTTAAGCATACCCATGTCACAGTTCTCATACTGCAGTCCCTTAGTCAGGGACTACCAACCAGGTAATTTCCTTACAGGGGGGTTTTCCCACCGTGCCAATAATCTACACAGTCTGCAATTGTGCTGCCCCAGTGCTGATCATGAGGAAGAGATTGCTGATCACAATTGCCATAGAGAGGCAGATGTTATTTCACTGCTCTCCTGGAACTGTTACTCTGAAGAGAGTATATTATCATGTTCTAGTCCTGACATCCAGGAAAATCCCTAAAATGATCCACTGGGATTAACCCGTGCAATGTCAGAGAAAGCCTTGATGAGAAGGTAAGATTAAAAATTAAAATTAAGGTATAAATAGTTCCTTGAATATATGGGACCAAATTACAACACTCTAGCTGGGATGTCCTGCTAATATCCTCTACCTTCCTCGTGGGTAACATGGAGCCACCTCCAGAACAAGGTATGGCTCAGTTTCAGTAGGATTTTCTGGAGTCCTAAGGAAATACCAGCAGAGGAGCTCAGCAGCAGCACCAATTTCAAAGCCTGTGTGTAGAAGGAGTCATTTTTAAGTATCATGATTATACTAATTAGGTTCTGCTTAGGTTTTAATTTGCATTTTAAGAATTTGATTACCAACGAGTAAAAAAGAGACTGATTTTCTCATGTATTTTATGACAGTTTGTGACACAATCTGCACTCGTGTTTACAAATAAATAAAAATAACATATGTAAATTAAATTGTGCTTCATTCTGTACCATTGCTATCAACAGCAGGTAACTAACAATGCTGATTTATATTACTAATAATAACATTCTTATAATAACATTCTTACAAAATTTATTTCATAAATCCCTGCTGTACCATTTCAAACTCTAACTGTGACCAAGAGACATAATCCATTTTTAATTGCAATTCAATTACCCTTTTTCTCATTAAATTAAGTTTAAGCTGCAAGAATGTGACTACTGTGCATTCGAACAGGGATACCTAGAATTAAAAAAAAAAAAACAAAAAAAAAAAAAACATCCACAGGAGTTTCTGAATAACAGGGGGGTTGGCCCATAGGCTTTTTGTATCATAATATGTTGCCATGTATATAATTCTATTAAAATTAATATATAATAGTACTTGTTGTATAAATTAGATAATACAAATTAAAACATTGTCAGAAGAGTATGTAAATTTGCCTTTTGTCTACTCACTCTGTTTTTGGAACTTCTTTTCTAAGCCAGTAGAAATCAGACTGGGCTGCGTATTTGCGAGTTTGCAATACATTGCCAAAATAGTCGCTTTCTGTGAACTTCAGCTGTATGGATAAAGCACAGACATTTTAAAAGCATGTCCAAAGAAACAGAAGCTGATATAAAAAGCATAACTTCTATTTTTTACAAGATAATCACCTAATTCTTTAGCCATTATGAAAGCAATTAGAATTTTAACATCTTGATAGGAAGAATAAATATTTTATGATCTCAGTTAAAATGCAGCAGTGGAACGGATGTACACAAGGGTCTGGAATGCTGGAAAGAGGCTTCCATGTGCAGAGAGGTGCTGAAGGAATCATAAGCACCCAACAATGGATTGCAGACAGAACTTCTCTTTTCCAGGAGGAAGTAGGCTTACTTTTATTTTTAGAAGTGCATCTTAAAACCACTTCTAACAATGTCACAAAGTCCCCTTTCTCAGTTTGCTTTACATTTTATAAAAATACTTCATACTATGTGCCTCCTGATGGTTTTGCCACTGCTTTCTTACTGTTTCTCACATTAAATATATACAGCCATAGGGCTCCATGCTTCCATAAGTTTCCAAATCCAATAGCAATTACACATACACATACAAATAACCATGCAGGAAAAAGGAATATTAATAGTTCATAAATCCAGATGATATCCCTGTCATCAGCTTAAAACAATCCTAGGATTTGAGAGGAGGTTGCATTTCAGATGTAAACTGTGGTTTTGCAACCATGATTAACAAATATTTTTTACCAGACATTGCCACTTATCTGGGCAAATAGTCTGTCTCATTACACTGTCTTCACAGCAACATCCCACCCTGCACTTCCCACAAACAAGGACTAGGCTGGTAGAGTTGGTTCTTCAAATTTTCTCGATAAATTAGGTCTCTGTTTAGTGTTTGCTCATGTGTTCCGGCAAAGATGACTATGCCTCCTGTATTTTACTGGTTCAGGATTGAATTTATGGTTCTACTTTGCCTCTGACTTCCAGTAATATAATTCATCACATGCATTCCACAGTTGGAAAATGGTAATATATGTTGTTGTTGTTAATAATAACAACAACAGCAACAATAACAATTTGCCTTCCTGCCTTAGTTAGGCTGAACAGATACTGGGTCAGGAAGGAGACCCCCCCAGTATCTTTGCCCAGCAGCCAGCACAATAGGCCCATACATTGATTAGGCCATCTTGACACCGTTATAAGCAAGAATCACAAATAAAATTCATAGCCTGGAGAGCCTACATAGGGCATCATAAATTGTGATATTCTGAGGTAAAATGCTTGTTGTGTTTTTGAAGACCATTATTTTGAGAATAAATTCTTTTGGTTCTTTTGGTTCTTTTACTCCCTGCAAGCGTCATGATCTCATTTAGGCACGCCAGCATTGACAATTTAGCCATGAGAGCTAGCACACTTAATTAAAAAATAAAATAAAAATAACCAGGCACGCAAAACTCCAGGTGCATGCCAAACAAAAGACAAGCTTTGATTTTAGACAGCAGGGAAACAGAGCAAAGAATAGCTGTAATATGTAAATGAAGAAAGCTGCAAGTCTGACACTTACTGTTTTGATGTCTTCATTAATATATGTGTCATTCATTATAAACTGAGGGTAACCAACTTTTGCCATAACTGCTTTTGCCTTTGAAAAAGAAAATGAGAAAAAAAAGTGTTGACAGATAAAACCACTTATCAACATACGGCTTTTTTTTCCCTGCTCTGTTTCCATTTTGCATTATTATACTTCCCTGGAGGCATCCTAATTTAACTTCAAACTGACTTGCCTACAAGGTAAACTTGGAGCCACAAATGAGCTCAGCATCCCAATGCAGAGGGTCCAGATTCTGCTGTCAGATTATCACAGTGGGTCTGTTGTTGCCTGCAGAGCTTTTGCGTAGTTAGAGCAATGTGTCTGTGCAAAATCTTAACAGCTGATTTTCTCTAACAGTTCTTGTGTTAATCAGGTGGTCAAATGCCTATTTTTACAATCATAGAATCATAGAACTAACTGGGTTGGAAGAAACCTCTGAGATCATCAAGTCCAACCCTTGATCCAACCCCACTGAGGTTACTGGATCATGGCACTCAGTGCCACGATCTCGTAATCACGGTGCAGTGTTTTCCAAAGGACAATTGGAAACAGCCTGTTTTGCCATGGCACAGTAGCTGGTACACATTCAACTGTTAAAACAGATTTGACACACAGATGTGAATGAACCTTGGTCCCAGCAAGTGCAGACTGGTGTATTTCCACTGAGGGCCACTTCTATTTGCATCTGAGGGTGGGCACACACTCTTCTGAAGGACAAAGTGCTTTTCTAAAACTACAGGACTAATTTTTGTTGCATTCTCCAGTTTTGCCCTTTTACTCTACAGTCTTTGTCCTTTCCCTAATGTTAGTAAGGGTGTTAAAATAAGACACTTCACTTTTCATTAAATTTGCTTTTTTTTCCTCTTTTAATCATGACTTGGTCCCAGCATTTATGCACAATCTGTGTAAACACTCCAGTGTGAAGTGATAGTAGCTGCAGATGAGTGTTCCCACTTTGTAAATCATAGTGTGAGTGTATAAACAGCCTGAGTATTCTTCTCACAAAATTACCAGCAGGCCACCCTTACACCCAGAATCTCTGTGGAAACAGAAGTTTCCAGAAAAAAAGCAAAAGGATATAAAAAGATAAGACTACATACCAAGATGTGAACTGTGACAATCTGTAAAATAAATTAAGGCCATGATGGACTAGGGTAGCATTAAGCTTTCACTTTGTATGTTTTCAGGATGCTGAATGTATTTTCCCCTTAAGTTTTTGGAATTTCCTCCACCCCTCAAAAAGCACTCTTCTGGAAATTTGTTCTTCAAACTCAGAAGAATATTGCAAGATATGAAATGTGGCAAATTAATTTGCCTCTAAACTAACTGCAGATGTACCAACCCTGAATTCTGTTCTCGTGAGCAGAGCCCAGACCTCTCTGGCATCCACCAACTTCAATTTCCCTCTTCAGGGGGTGACTACTCAAGGGAAGATTCCCCTTCCTGCACAATTATATCCTTTCCCCCCTTCTGCCCCTCCACAGTATCTCAATACAACAAGACCTCCTATGACAGCCAGATTTAGAAATGGCTATTCCACTACTGTAAGAAGGAAGCTGATGGAGGACTCTTTCCATTTAACCAAAATAAATCTGTCTCCTCTTTTATTTTTCAAGAAGAAAGGCCTCTTTGCTTCTTCAAACTCCTTCAATTTCTCAATCTCATTTCCAATCCAAAGTCATAATCCTCTGTTCATGACATCACAATTAATTGCGATTGAGATAATTAAGATGTCACAAACAGAAGATAACAACTTCAGGTAGGAAATTAGCAGCAGGAGCAGATGATCTCTTAAGCAAGAAAGATCCCATTGTCATGCAAATTGCTTTAGTGATAAAAAAAGCAATGGAAGAAAAATGCTGAATGGGAAATATGAAATGAGCCAAATAACCTCTCAACAGAATGTTTTCTCAGTTTTCCAGAAGGTTTAGCAGTCTTGCAAGATATTTTAAATGCTGTGGGGAGGAGGGAGAATAAAAAGCTGGGGAGGGAGCACTATTCATCTGCAAGTTTGTATGTAATCAGGAGTGTCTAATATTTTTCCTGGTGGTGGTGTCAGGTCCAGCTGACTGAACCTTGCAAGGAACTGCAAAATTTCCTTTACCCTTTCCCATGTTTAAATCCTAGTTAAAAACAGCCTTGAAAAAGGAAAGAGCAAAACTCATCGGTTTTAATTTCTGCTAAGTCAGCTGCTTAAACAAGTTCTGTGAATCTCAGATGTTCTGCATGAGTTCCAGAGTACCCATCTGAATCACAGTAAACTTTGTGTTGAATCTACTTAATTCAACACCTTAGGATTTGAATTAAACATATTTAATTTAAAATTTGACTTATACAATGAAGAATAAGCCCTTTAAAAATAATTTATAGTGCAACATTTAAAAAAATAAACAGTGGTTTTAAATCAAATATAAGTATTAACTGTGTACAGTGTCATTTTACTAATGATTTAGTTAGTACAACGTCGATCAAAAATTTTTGGTCTTGTTTTGGCATATAAAAGAACATTTTTTGTTTAGAGCTATATTACATCCTTTAAAAGCACTCTTAATTTGTATACTGTCTTCCAAATAGAAGCAAATAAATTCATGCCTCGCTGGCTGTAAATGCAAAGGAGTATAAAGCCAGCTTAGATCTGGCAGTGCTTCTTTGCTGAGATATGGGTTCTGCCCTTAAACACATGGTGTTAATTGTCTGGTTGTTACCAAAATAATGTCCATCTCCTCTGCATGGACATTTCGGGATCTTTGTGGAATATCTGCCACATCCATCTCACACTCTTCTTCCACAGCAGCTCCCTGAGGCCAGTACCTTGGGACTGCCAAGTGTTGGCCCTTTTAGACCTCACTCTTTAACCAAGCATCTCTAAGGGTGAAGATGATGCCTCCAGGCACCTTAATAGCTGGTCTGACATAGGTTGAACTAAAGATCAAATATAATCACATAATCTCACAAATAAGAACATAATTAACATTTTTAAAAATTTTATTTTATTGACACTTAAACCCTTTACTCTTTTCATGGTCCTGCTGCATTAGGAAAGGAAGATGGGAAGAGTTCTTCAACCAGACTACCTCAGGAGAGCTGGGCACACTTGTCAGGTGGCACATACTTTTGCTTTGTGATGTGAGACTGAGATTTCTAAACATGAGAATAAAATAGTTGGGCACTACTATATTTGAGGTAATTTTTTATAAAGGCTATATAAAACCCTACTGAATAACAGAGTTTGTCCCAGAGAGATTTTTGAAAGTAAACTCAAATGGTAATGCTGCTTCTAGTACTTTGATGTTTTATCAATGTCTAAAGCTGTCTGTATTTTGTAGGATGGATAGATAGATAGATAGATAGATAGATAGATAGATAAGGGGAAAACATTATTTTATTGCATTTGTTATTTAAAAGTTCTTACCACAATATGTGTGGTTTAGAGATCTGAGCAAATAAGACAAAGCTGATGCTGACAGTGAAGGACGTGTGGCTCTTGGCTGGGGAAACTGTTTCCTAAGGCCAAAGCAAAACCCAGGAGAGGACATAGGAAGTCTTCTGAAGTCCTTGTTAATCCCTCCAGCTGGGATTTCTCTTGGGGGCTTTGCATCAGGTGCAAACCTGCTCAGCTGAGCCCCACACACGGCCCAATTTGTTTACACAACTGACAAGGTAAAAAGTATCATATTGAGAGCAGGTTTCCAAATTTACATGTTGGAAGTCTTGTTTCCGGGCCTATCTTTTCTGTTCACTTGTGTAATATTTAAGGGCAGTTTGAAGACTCCTTATTTATGCAGCACAAGAAAGTGGAAATCTCTTCTACAGTTGGCTTGCTCTTTGATAATGATGTCAGCATTTTCTTCTTGATAAGACTAAAAGTATGCTGGAGGGGCCAGCATTCCAGGAGGCATATATATGCATACAGGGAACTCAAATGAAATGTGACAAATGTACAGGAACCAGCCATGTGGCAATTGCACATGAATCCACCATAAACACACCATGTACAATTTTATGGTTTAAAGGCTCATTTAATTCCTTTTTCTAATTTGCATATTAAATAGCCATGTGTACAGGGAGAAAAAGGGTGATGGGGTACTTTTCCCAGCTATTGTAAAGCACTCAGACTACCTTGGGCTGTTGAGGAAATTAAGAAAACTCATCACTGCAGGACTCTTCTTCTGTCACTGACAGCAAGAGGCTCTCACAGGGGGTGACACAGAGAAGCAGCTCACTGTAGAGTAAGTCATGATAACTGTTTTCCACCCCAGCAGCCAGAGAGAGAAGGCTCTGAGGCAGAGGACCCAGAGTGGGACTACTCCCTCCACCTCTCATTAGGCATGGAAGTTTCCCCACTGACTTCAACACAGCTGAGATTTTATCATCAGTGTGTCTTTCTGTCACAATGAGAGCACTGCTAGTCAGTTTACTACAGAGACAATATAATAAAAGACCTTTCACTCTTGACTTAACAACTTGCCATCGTGGGAATGCACAGGTATTTCAATACTCCAAAGCATCCTAGTTTCCAGTCTATTCAAATTCTCACTTGACAACCAAGTGTGCGAGTCGTCTGAGAGCCTTTTTTGCCACTCAGAGTATGATCTGGATATTTTATATGCTAGTACTGATATATTGTACTTACTGTAAAGAAAAAAATAAAACAAAGCATATATCTCACCCCTGACAAAGTTTTATGAGTATAACACAGATTTTCTGTATATCAACTTGATTCAAAATAACTTTGTGAAGATCATTTTCAAGCTCCTAAATACATAAAAAATTAATACAATTACAGTTCACTGAAAAATTAGCATGAAATACATTCTGAAAGCTAAAATAATTCACGGCAAAGTAATGTTCCATTTAATTACAAAGATTAATTCAGCCTTTATGTACGTGTCTGGTCTTTTCATTTTTCATTGAAAACGGATGATTCAAGAGCCATCTGGTAAAAATGCTGCATAAATATCGTTGCATCTAACTAGGATTTATGTATAGAAAAACTAGGGAAATGGAGTTATGATCTTGGCAAAACACAGAAAAGTTCTGACGCAGGGCTA